AAAATAATCTTTGATCAACTTATCCATGTCTTCCTCCTTCTTCGTGGAAATATGGTTAACAATCTTGATTGGCTTGATGCCACCCGATATGTGACCATGTAGAACCCATACAAGTTTGGTGAGCGATGCTACAGGTAGGTTCTTATCTCCTGAAATTAATTCACGAGTAAATATGAGATGCCAATTGTCCTGGCCAATTAATATGGTAGGTCTGGACCTCTCATACATCAACTCGTCCTTAATCGGTGTCAAATGAGAACACCGTTGCAATAATTCTCGACTTACTGACTGCGGAGAAAGGTTAAGTGACTTAATTGTTTGTACACTTATCTCTTCTAAGTCGTTCGAGTAAATGCCTTTTATCTTAACGTTTAAGCGATACGAACTGTCGTCGTTAATTCGCTTACCTCCCATGGGTTCAATACGTAATTCTTCTTTACGTCCGCGAGCCGCTAACTTCTGAGCCATCCACTCCTCTATGAGTGTCATGGTCGATCCCTCCAGAAGAGCTGTTGTCTTGGCCTTTCCTCTAGGTCCATACAACTCGACCGGTATAATCTTTAAGTATGCACATGCCAGTGCATTTACTGTACTAACAGTTGTAATTGCCTCTTTACCCCCTCGTCCCCTTGCGGCGAGGTATTTTCATTGGGGTATCGGTGTAGCATTCGATGATGTGACATTCTACATCCCTCTACACCACATTTTTTCGCTCTGCACTCTAACCTCCTATGGTTAGGTGACAAACATTGGAAACATACTTTCGCTTTTTTAACCGCGTCCCATTTCTGTCGATTATTCATGTCCTTAAACTTGTAACAACTCACTATAGAGTGTTCCTTGTTGCATATAACACACTTATGTGTTACCCGACTTACAGGCTTATCCTGAGTTATCATAACCACTTGTCGGTTGTGCCCTTTATTATTTCGGCGTTCTAGACGCTCGCTCGTATTACTTCGGCGCTCATAGCGCTCGCTCTTGACACGGTTGCGTACAGACCCCTTTGCGGTGTGTACAGTTTGCTTCCTGAATTCAGGACGCTTCCGTTTTTCAGGCACATTTTCATTGCTTAAGGATGTTCCAAATTGTTCACTCAATAAATTTAAAAACTTGGCCATCTTCTGTAACTCTGGCTCCAAAGGATGCTGAGCTCGATATTCAAACCATTTAAATTTAATCATAGTTCCGAGTTTCTCTACTATGCGGCTTACTAACTCCGGTGAGTATAAATACTGTGGTTGATTCAACGCTTGTATTGTGGCAACCACGTTTGTAATACGACTTGCAAAAGATCCTATATTCCGGCAATCTTCTGCAAATCTTGGCATACGTCTTACATTCTCGATTTCGGCTAAAATGAGCATCTCAACCCTACCGAATCTTCTTTCGAGAGCGTTCATTATTTCTTCAGGTTCACACAAAGTAAACAACAACGACTTAACCGCTTCCTTAGCGGTGCCCTTTAATGCCCTCCTAAGGCGTGCGACATTCTGCACCCCTGAAAATTGGCTTCTTGTGTCTTCAAACACCGTTTTGAAAATTATCCATTCACCCGGGTCTCCATCGAACACCGTAATTCCTGGAGGAAATGAAGCTGGGAAGACTTATCTTTTCCCGCTATCTTTATTGCACTCACAATCGCTTCGGTCAATTCTGACACCTCACTCGCGTGTGTTTTCTGTGCACTTCCTAGGTTGCGCTCGATCTCCGCCCCTTTGCGGCGTGATCCTTTACACGCTTCCTTATCAGTAATATCGGGTTGCGTTACACTAACCGGCGCGCTCAATATGGTCTGCTGAACCCAACTCCTTACGAAAGGTTCCACCTGAGTATTCCGCTCTTCATCATCCTCACTCGAGTCGATCTCCTCTTCTCGGTTGAGTCGTGCCAACTCCAATTGAGACTTGGCTAAGGCAGCAGCTGCCTGTGCTCGTTCGAGCTCTGAGCTTTCGAATTTAATCCGCGCCTCTAATTCGGCTTTCAGCCTCGCCGATCGCGATGACCTACTACCTCTCTGTGACCCTTTAAGTGTCCCGATTACTGTCCTTGACGATGCCGCTTCTTCGGTCCTTTGACCTACTTTTTCGACTACCGTTTCACTCCTGGATATAACGGATTGTTGTGCGGTGCTGGCCTGCGTACCACTGGTGTCCGTCCTGTTACTCGTCGTTGCCACGGACGTCCCCGAGTCCCACGTGCATGTGGACGTATCGGTGGTGGCTCCACTTGAAGGAGTTGTTCCACTCGAAGCAGTAGCTGTGGTCGCTTCAGATGATTCCGCCTCTTTAGCTTTTATTGAGGGCCCTGTTCTTGTCTTGCTTCCTTCGCTTCTCCCTGTCTGGTCTTGTGCCTTCTTCATCTTGCAGGAAGGTGATTGTTGGCCTACAGTCCTTAACCGTCCCTACGGTCCCTACAACCCCTTACCTACAACCCTTCTACACCCCAACCTAACCCCACTACCCCCCCCCCCCTTTATCTCCCAACCCTACAACCTTACTACCACACTAACAGCCCTATCAGCCCTATCAAACCTGAACGGGGCCTACCGAGGTGAGCCGTCCAGGGATGGAGTCGTGCAGGAATGGAATGGAGGAAAGGTTTAGGAACTGTCCCGCCAAGGAATATGACGAAACAGTCGAGCGGTAGTGCAAGCGCAGTCTCGGTCGAGAGAACTGCTCCACCCGAAGGTGATGTGCCAGAGCCCGACCGTTTGGCACCGTTAGGTGGTGGGGATGTATGCTGCGCTTCGTCGCCCAGTCGCCGGTGACGCCTCGTCCAAGCGCCCTCCTCCGGCCGCGATGCAGTCAGGTGCCCACGAGCACCCTCGCCTGGCAGCAGCAGTGGTGGATGCTTCTTCTTCTTGCACCCTCTGATGACCCGACAGGAAATGCCGGACACGGTCGTCCGACAGGAAAGGCCGAGCACGCTTGCCCGCCAGGAAATATGCCAAGCCCTGCTTGGCCACGATGAGCGCCTTCACAAGGCATCTGCGCCTGGCTGCGATACGTGCCCCATGCGAGCACACGCCCCAAGCCGCAATCCCGGTTTTCTTTCTTCCGGTAGTTCCAGGTCCAGCCCTACTGCGCTGACCTGGTCTTCTGGCCTTTGGTCCTGTTGCTTCAGCTCAAACCTCCGGCTTCCTTCGGTTGCTGATCTTCACTCGGCTCCGAAGGTCTTCTTTTTCCATAACGTGCAGTCCACGGCTGGTTCCTTGATCCTGCTTCGAAGGACCACTTGAAAAGGAACCAGAGTGCGTAAACGTTAAACTAAGAAACAGAAGGTAGGAATCGAGGCTTCTCTCGATCCGGCCTCCTATAACGCTTACGTTGCGTTCGGGAACAACGTATGTGATCTCCGCAACGGAGTAACACACAAGGGCGATAACCTCTTCCTTTTCAGAAAATAGGTTCAGGCGGGGAATACGGGTCTTCCGAAGTCGTCCCGGTCCCAACGCCTTAATTCTTCGATGTGGACTGTATTATTTGAGGGGAGAATTTCTTGGGAATAAAACAGCAATTATCTTCAAACCGTTCCGTGAGAGAGTAATTACTTTTCCCTATCACTTCCCTACACTTTTTCTTTCTTCTTCTTATTGACTGCTGGTCTTGCACTTTTCCCGAAGTTTCTCCGAACTTTCCCGAAACTTCCCCGAATGATTCCCGAATGAATTGCAAGAAAACTCGTTTACTGAGCTACCCCAGAGCTATACGCGAAAGTGAGCCGCGCCATTCGTGCGCTTGCGCAACTCAATTACATCAATTTTTTCTATCACTCTCTCACGGTTTACTCAATAACTTTATTTGTATAAGACATACATTTATACAATTTACTTGTATAGATAGCACAAAAAAATATCTATACTACGATATACATTGCATTTTCATATCACAAAAAACCTTTTATTTATTTAGCAAAATATGCCTATTTTACTCACATGTTCAAAGTTGAAATTTCTTAAATATTTAACATAGAAAGTTAAAATAATGTTTTCCACTTGAAATTATACATATCTTAACCAATACAACAGTTTAATTTACATTTTCTCTATTCATTTCACTATTAAAACACTTTTAAATTTCTTATACAAAACTATCATTATTTCACTTATTCACAGGAATTTTCATATAAAAATAACACAGAATTCACCTCTTTTACACGTACAATCAATCTGAAATGTTTTACAAGTCATTTTTACATACATTGCTGAAATTGCAAATATTTAAATTTCTACGTATTTGGCCTCCTAAGTACGTGGCTAGCGTGCGTCTATGATCTCACACTATTTGAACAACTAACTTTTGCACGGCTATCGACTATCAGTAAAAATGGAAAGTCTAGTATCAACAATACTAGGTGAATAAATGATTCTAATCAGATTCTTATCAGTTATCATGTTTCTTATCAAATAATATAAGTGAATGTTTTCATAAATCAATCATAGAAAATAGGCGTTTGTTTTCATACAAAAAATATCAAACTCATGTGTCAATGACAATACTTATGCCATTAATTTCCATTAATTCTACTTATGCACAGAGTGATCATTTCGACCGGGGAACAAATCCGGTAACCAACCCATATCTTAAAAATTCCCTATATGAATTTATTAAGAAATATTACTAAGAAAACAATAAACTATTCCGGCCTGGGAGTCGAACCCAAGACCTTCATATCATTAATTCGATATTTCTTTAAGATTCAACAAAGCATTTTCTCATCGGAATATTGTTGCTTGATAATTTGCTTTTTAGAAGCTATTCATAACCGGTTAACTAATAAATTGAAATATTCTTATAGGCGCGTCGCCAACACATATCATTAAACAATCTCTATTCTTTGATCGGGCAAAGGCACATATGTAGACAATAAAAAATGTAATATTTCAATAAATGTAAATCCGATTCATGGCATAGTCATTAATAATGATTGGGCCACACCTATATTTTAGGATTTTATATAATCATTGCGTATCTTAAAACAACGTTCTTTATTTTTAGGATAGAATTTTATTACCAATAGCCGGTGGATCGTGTAGAGATGCTATAATGTACTGGCATCCAGATTTAACAGAAGAACATTACTGTGTAGGCGCATTAGAATCAAAAAGTCCAGTTCATATAATGGATATCGGAGGTAAGCAGTTCCAAGAACCAAGACAAAAAAATTTTTTGAATATTAATGATATGTGATATGTACAACGAAATTTGAAATTATAACCATCATATTCGACAAATTGAGCCGTGTTGTGCAGAAATGATCCAACCAACAAGCAAAAAGTTATTCAGATTTGAAAGATAAATGATATATCTTTAAAGTTATCTTTAAGCCACAAAAAATTAAATTAGATTTTAGAAGCCCGATTAAAATTTTATGTTATGTATATTACTTATTATTTTTTAGAAGTCTTTCATAATTGAAAATAAACTGAAAAAGAGCCTTTTCCTTATTATTTTGGACAGTTTGTGGGTTGGATCATTGGCAAAAAAAAATAACACTCTTAAACTAATACTTATATCCGTGGTAGCTCAGATGGTTAGCGCTCACTGTAAATTTACGGGGGGGAGGGGGTGGGGTAATGCCGAAACGGACCAGCTAATCAACCACATCCAAATGGCTAAAGATTACTTGCTACAACAGATCCGATCCGCAGAGATCGTAATACTCGGCAATTTTACCGCCACCACGTGGCTTGATTCACGTTTAATCGATCATGCTTATGACTGCCTTGGCACATGGATCTGACACAGCTGGTTAATTCGCATAAGCGGATTCCAGATGTGGAAAATCATACATCTTCCCTGTTGGACCTTCTGCTGACATCTCATTCGGACGGGTATCAGGTTTCCGTCGAGGACCCTCTCGGCTCTTCGGATCATTGTCTGATCCGGAGTGTGGTGCCTTCCTTCGCGGTTGCGTTTCTGCACGCTGCCGCCGTGTTTGGCATTACAGGTCGGCGGATTGGAACGGAATGCACTCTTTTTTGCATCCTGCTCATAGAGACGGGTTTGTTTCTCACTTAATGATCCCAAAACTGTTGCTGACTCTGTCACTGTTATGGTACTACAGGGAATCTCAGATGGAATAAAAAAAGGTATATGTTGCACCTAGAATAAGAAACTGTAACCAATTTTATAACTTTGTGTGAGTCAGAGAATTGTTGCCATTTTTTTAAAGACCCTGAAAATCCACCCTAGTCTATACATCCTAAAATACCACAAATATAAGAGTAATATGCGATGCGAATGCGAAAGTATATATGTCTGTTTTAATAAATTTCAACAATTTGACAATTCAAAAAAAGATGGTTTACGTAGGAGGCGTCTGTAAATCATTTAAAAGTCTTCTTGATAGATTGTGAGCACGTAAGCATCGATAAAATATGTTGTATATATAATGTAAAACATGTTTATTATAAAAAATAACTTAATACTAAAAAAGTCGTAAAAAAACTAGTTGGAATAAAAAATGAATTTCTATGGAATTAAAAATATACTTTTCTAGATGAAAAAAGTATATTATAGTAAATTCAAAATAGAATAAACTCCCGCATGGGGCATAAAGGAGTGTTCTAATTTGTATCCCGGGTAGGAGAGATATGAAGTATCAGCCGGAGAGGACACCTGAGTCTCGGTTAAAGAATGACGGATTATTGCTCCGCTTGCCTTATTAAAATATTCGTTGGTAGCCTAAAATCACAAATATGTTTTGATAGTAAAATAGCTTGTAAGTACTCAGGAATTAAAACAGAAATATCAATGACTTAAAAAATTTAATATTTACCGTGACTTCAATATGATGTAACATAATAACAACTAATTAAAAAAATATGCTGACTACATATATTTTTATAACATAACCAAAAATTAATCACCCAAATCGCGGACAATCAGAAACAAGAAATACTGGCAACATTCTCCCGTTACGTAATCTCGAAACATTGATATTCGTACTTCGAATAACCTTCAAAATTGTGTTGGAATTACAAAATTAAATATAGTTAAATGAGTCTTTACGAGTGAAACGATATTGCTTCAGGCGTTTTATTCACTGTAGTATTGTTTTTGCACCATTTAACTACACAGGACGGCATTTTATAGGCAAATTTACTGCACGAGGCCCCGGGAAGTCCTGACGAAAATGAGCGTAGTTTGATGCATGTGTATGCGTGAACGCGTGTGCTTAAATAAAGGATCGGAGTTTTTGGCTTCAACAATAACAAAGGCCGCGCGGTATCTACCTTTTTTTACTTCATCTGAGCAGGGAATGGAAATATTTATTCCTCCATCTGTGGTACCCATCGGAGGCAGATCTCAATCTTGGTTTGATCTCCCCTGTAAGACTTCATTACGTAATAAACAGGAGTGTTATCAGGCCTGAGCTGACGCTTCGGTGGCACGGGAGGTAAATACCAGCAAGCTGAAAAAGAAGTATAACTTCGCCTCTAGGTCTTTTAAAAGAGTTATTGCCAAGGCAAAGTATCTATGGATATGCAGACGATAGCACAGTTGTGGAGAGATACCAAGTGCTCAGGCCAGTCGGGATCAAATCCAGTAAGAAATAGGGGCTATGATCGAGCGTGTGAATCTCACATTACAGGCAGTCTCCGAATGGGGCGATGCCAATCTCGTAAGATTCAACGCTTCCAAAACACAAGCGTGTCTTTTCACCGCTAAAAGTTGCCCGCTCACCCTGGCTCCTACTTTTCGAAATGTATCCTAGGAGTACACTGACCGCCTTCAGTTGTTAGGGTATTTTATATCTCACTCGGTATTTTATAGGATGCATTTCGTAGAATGTGCGCAGGAATTGCACGCTTTAATTTCTCCCTCTCCTTTCCACCATCGGACGACCAGAGCTCGGCGGGTCTTCATCCCTTTCTTGGTGATATTCCAAGCATTAGAACCAAACGGTTTACTTCGACATTTTTAATGCGTACAGCAAAGCAGTGGAATAATTTGCCGGCGTCTATCTTTCCGTCCGAATACAATCTGGGCGTCTTCAAGGCAAGAGTGAATAGGCATTTGTTACGCTAAGACAGTGCGGTTTATCATCTAAGGCTGCATCACCACTTACCACCAGGTGGGATTGTGGTCCAGTGGGGAGTTTTAACTTTTAATTAAAGTAATACTTCACTTCCAATTGCGCTTTAACTTCGTACATTGTGTAAAAAATTGAAACTTAAATTATGTATATTTTTTTAATTTAAATATTAATTTGTTAAATATAAGCTACTGTTTAAGTTAGTAATAACATTAAATAGTGGCAGCATTTTTAATATAATTTTGAAATAAAACAGTAATCACGTAATAAAATAAAACGGCAACAAAATCGATGAAACGGAACAAGTCATTGTGGTATCTTGAAGAATGACGTTTTGTTTTTTTTATTCTGCATGCATTCCTTTCAGGTGAAATGTTTTGTAAAGGAGATGACTATTCCAAGAGAGAATATCTGCTTGCTTGTGATTTCTACGAAGATCAAGAAGCACCCGTTGCAGACTTGCTCCAGTATTATCCAGACCCTGATCCAGAAATAAGCCCTAAATTATATTAAAACACATATTTGACCATTTCTAATTAGAAAATAAATACTGACGTAACGTATAAGCAATGTTTATTTTTTAATAATAACAATATCTAAGTATTTTTGTAAGTAAAAATCATTCCCACACAAGAGCTTAGGAAGTTGGGAGCTTTTAAAAGTACGAATTTAGATGTATTTTATATTTTATGTTTAGTGACTTAGGGACCATTTATTAATTACGTAAGGATCCCAAAGGAGAGGGGGTTAAAAAAATCTCTACTTGCCCAATATAAGGACATGTATAAACTTTTTAGGGGGGGGGGACAAATTCTTACGTAATATTTTGTAAGTTTGAATATCTTAAATGTGTTCATTTTTATCCATTTCAAATGTTATAAATAATAATTATAGTACATTCTTCCCACGTATTAATCTGATTTTAATTATTTGGAATATAAAAAATAATTCTTTCGTTTTCAAGCATAGCATGGAATGATAAAAGTAAAGTTAGCCTATAATACGTCCCACTGCTGGGCACAGGCCTCTCCTCATTTCTGAGAGGGTTTTAGGGCAACGAAATGTCCGCAACGCTGCCTCAATGCGTGTTGGCGAACTTCACATGTCTTGGAAAAATTTTTTTTTCTTATTCCTCAGACATGCAGGTATCCTCACGATGTTTTACTTCACCGCCGAGCACGTGGTAAAATCAGCACTCAAAATTGCAATTAGCAATTTCATTGGTGCCGGCGGGGATCAAACCCGGGTTACTCGCGTTCTGTTATATTTACAGCGAGCGTTAGCTATCTGAGCTACCACGGCTCGATAACCGTTAACTGGGTCTTATTTACCTTTACACTGGGGTAGGGGGGGGGTCAAAAATCGCTAAAATCATCCTTACGTAAATTAATTTTATTTTATTTATTTATTTAATGACCTTTACAGAAAAAAACATTACAGAACAGTTCATATCTTCGCCAAACTGTAAAGACAGTTTGTTGGCGAATAAATGCACTCTTATATTCTATTACGAAATTAAATTAAATAAGTACCCAACCCACGTAATATTACAAACAACTAAAAAAATTTTAAAAGATGAACACAATAAATTCCAATATCTATAGTATCAAATACAAATACAACACCCCACCCACATAACATTGCAACAAAATAAAAATTGTAAATATAACCCGGATATATTTTTTTTTCAAGTATTACAAACAAATAATATTTTTTCTAAATGGTCATACATCTAACATTTTATCCAAAAAATATTTCCCAAGTTTCTTTTTAATTTTTAATTTGCAATTAGGTCTATCTTGCCTTAGCCAATCTATTTCATTAAGAAGCTTTGGTATTAAATATTTTGTACATCTTTTACCATAGTAGTTTTTAACACTAGGCTGAAATAATTTCCCTTCTCTAACTTTTCTGGTTCTATATTTATTATCCAATTTTTCACTATGATTATTTTTATTAATGTTTTCCAGAAGTAATAGCATGTTAACTTTGTGTTCTACCGGTAAAATTTTACAAATAGAGAATAACTTAACATAATCTTTCTTACAATTTTCTTTAACTTTTTCATTTACAAGATGTTTTAGAAATCTTGTTTGTAGATTTTTAATGTCATTTAAATAGGAAGAAAAAGTACGACCATACACACCAAGTCCATAGGTTATGAGGCAATCCACCAAAGCATAATATATAAGATACATAGTTTTTTTGTTCAAGATATATTTTAAATAATAAAATTTACATAATACAGCCGACAACCTTGCACATACATCAGATATTTGAGGTTTCCAATTAAAGTTTTTATCAATAATCAAGCCTAAATATTTAAATCTCTCAACAAATTCAATTTCTTTACATTTACAATTAATTTTATTATTATGCAAGCACTCAAAACCGTGGCCTATAATAGCTATCTCATTTAATTTGGTCTTTTTTGCTGCAGCATTATATGGAGAGTGTATATGCATGCATTTTGTTTTATTAAAATTTAAAATTATACCATTATCATGAGCCCATTTTGTTATATTCTCAAAATCAATTTGTATATTATTTTGCAATTCTTTTGTTTCTTTAGAGGCAAATAGCAAGCACATGTCATCCGCATACATATACACTTGACAGTTTTTTATTACATTGGATACACTGTTTACATGCATAATATAACCCACAGGACCGTAAACAGAACCGGTCGGTACACCCAAGTTAATATTGGCCTCCTCTCCCACAACGCCATCCACTACAGTGCGAAGCGAAGAATGAATGGCCCTTTAGACCTTTGCGTCCAAAACAGACGATTTATGATGCAATGCCTAAGAGACATCGTTTTTGGTGGATAAACAGGCCAATGCAAGTATGACATGTCTTAGCACAGGCCTGACATGAAATGTTTGTGGCAGATGATATCGAACAGCCTCGATGTCATCTATGTCTCCAGTCAGCAAGTTCCGCAAACCGAGCATCTTCGAAAAACTTGTGACTATAAACTACATTTGTCATTCTGTTTCTGTTTGCGTTCGCTACTGCACCTAAAAGGGATCAATCGGGAGGGCTCCATCCTGTGCACATGACCTAGTCAACGCAAGCGCCTCTTTTTGAGAAGCAAGCTCAAGCTAGGCAATTTATAAAACGTTCTCGTTTAATACTCTATCTTACCATGATATATCTAAGACCTTACGTTAACAGCATATGTAGAAGGACATTCTAGTATTGCGCTCATCATCCAGGTCTCAGCTACATACATACTATGTAAGATAAGAAAGAAGATGTTTTTTTATAGGATAAGGATAAAAAACGAGCACACAGTCCACCTGATGGTAAGAGGTTGATGTGGCCCACAGGCATCTACATTTAACCTCGATTACGAATCAATATGCAGATGCGTTGTCACCCGCGTTGCCTCACCGAAAGATGGAATGCCTGGTTTCCAGTAAAAAGAGTCTCCGGTTCTATACACTCATCATACTAACCACAGTCCCGTTAAGCTGCTATTTTACGCTGGTATTATGTGAAACTGTGTTCCTTCCCCGGTCGAGCCGATCCATTCGTGCTAGAACTATACTAATAAATAGTTGCGATGCCGCAACTGTTAAGTGCCTAAAAGACTAACGTCTTGGTTTTAGTGATGAGATATTCTTATGCCATAATCTAGTGCTAATCTTCGCGAACATCGTCGTCATTTTGCTGAAACGAAAGTCAACCTCTGCGTCGTCGTTATGTTGTTCGTTACGTTCGACACCAGTAGCAAAACTGTCTGCTGGGTTAAGTTGTCGTCAAAATCTCCGGACTGTGATGCATCAACATATTGTTAAGAAATTTATATCATATTTATCTTTTTCAATTATTTTTTTAAAGGAGAGGGGCAAACGAGCATGCGGCTCACCTGATGGTAAGCGATTACCGCCGCCCATGGACAGCTGCAACACGAGGGATATTGCAGATGCGTTGTCGGCCTTTAAAAAAGGTATAGGCTCTTTTCTTGAAGGTCCCTAAGTCGTATCGGTCCAGACTCTGGTGATAGTTGATTCCACAAGGAAGTTGTGCGAGGAAGAAAACTTCTTTTAAATCGCTTAGTGGTGAACCGCCAGTCATCTAGATGGTATCGCGAGTTTTGTCGCGATGTGCGATGGTGAAACTGTGCGACTGGAATTAGATCGAACAATTCCTCAGAGCACTCTCCGTGGAAGATGCGTTAAAATACCAATTTGGTCTTCTCTTCCAAGTGACAGCGAAACTGCACGTCACTCGATATGTCGACGCCGAGATACCGGCTGAGGCAACAAGGAGAGTGCCTTGAAACTGAGGAGATACGACGAAGGGGTTCTTTTTAGCGGTAAACGCGCAAACTTGTGTCTTCTGGGGATTAAACTGGACTAGATTTAGTCGCCCCCAGTCCGAGATTTTGTTCAACAAAGTCTCGACTTCTGTTTGTCCCGGTACTCGGCGACGTTTTCCCGAGAAATATTGGCACGGCCGGTGTATAAAGCATCACCAGTGCTGTCGTGACAGCTCGCATCCTTGTGGAACACCAAAGTTAATGGGCTTGTAATCGGAGCATGCATGGGCCCCGTGCTTGCTTAATCCGGCACTGGCTCGGACCCGTCCAACTACAAGCCTATCGCTATCACCTCATTGTTCTTCAAAATAATGGAATCCAAAGTGATGGCAGAGGCATCTCGCATGCAATCTGAAGTAGTGACATACATGCCCTGCTTGAGACACGGAAACTACCAGATCTCTAACCCAATACCCCTATTACCATCAGAGCGATTACCTTTTTTTAGGGATCGGGTGCACGAAGGCTGTCTTCCATGATTGCGGTACTCCTACTCCGTAAGCAGGGAGTAGAGAGGAGAGAAAGAGATAGTAAATCTCATGAAAAGCAAATTTGTCACGGTTTTTGGGCTTTCAGGTCGTCTACCTCTTTGAGTATATGTGTGTGTATATATATATATACATATATATATATATATATATATATATATATATATATATATATATATATATATATATATATGTATATATATATATATATGTTTAATTTTATGTATATATACTTACACAATGTTTATATATGTATATATTTATACGCTTATATATGTATGAGTTTATATATGTGTATATATGTATATGTAAATGTATATATGTATATATGTATTGTACAATCTTCTTATTACACCTACCTCTTTTATCTCTGCACTACTCTAAGGTAGACTGGTAGATAATGCCTCAGGCATTAAGTCCGCCTATATACATCTAATGTGTATATGAAGTTAAATAAATAAATAAAATAAAAACAATTAGACTAAAAGGCAAAAATGTGTCATAAAATTTCTGGCTAAAAGTAACGTAGCCAGGCTAACTATGCTTTCACCATAATTATTATATTATTTAAACTATATATACTCGTATAGTATATTCTTTGAGTACTCTGCGCCCTCTTTTCCCAAAAGAGGGTCGCTCATGATAAGGCACAATAGAGCTTAATCAGCCGGTTGCCTGTCCCTAAAGGCGGTTTT